ACTGGCAATCTAAGTGTGACCTTGAAATTGACCTTTGACCCACTTTTTATCATGAATTGAACTTTGCAAATTTTGGTTCCCTTTTATCTCCAAAACTAGCGAGATAGGTCCATAGTTACTATTGAAATTGAATAGGAAGTCATATACTGGCAATCTAAGTGTGACCTTGAAATTGACCTTTGATCTACTTATTATCATGAACTGAACTCTGCTAATTTCTTTCTCTTTTAACTCCAAACCTGGCAGAGATAGGTCCATAGTTACTATTGAACTTGAATAGGAAGTCATATACTGGCAATTTACTGTGACCTTGAAAATGACCTTTCACCTACCTTACGATGAACTTAAATTTGATTGTACCATTTTTAGTTTCATATATTTTTTGCAAATATTGAAAATTCTTGTTGATTGCATGTTTACAGCTTGTCAAGCACAAGACTGGTGGCTGTGTCCCTTATTTTGTGTATGTGGGGGTCTATACGAATGCGCTTGCTCCAGCTGGTGGTACAATATTCGGAGGCGGTATCGCCTCTCTGATCCTCTAGTTTTTTTCTGATAATCATAATCCATTATGTCATGGCCATATATCATGGCCAAAGCTTGATTGACATACAGAAGAAATTGCACTTGCATGCAGAGATAAGTAAATTGCTAATGAGGCTGCCCCCAAAGGGTGTGGTGTAGACTCCCCCCCCCCCCCCCCCAACACACGGTATTTCATCATTTCTTTTAGACTCCTGGGTACTAGTCTGTTTATATTTTGAAATAACTTGCTTTATAGAAAATTACAATCTGAAAATTTCTTAAATATTTTTTTCTCTGCCTCCTCTCTCCTAAAGGTCAGCATGTTGTGTTGAAGGTTCTCAAGCATGTTAATTTCTCAAACCATGTAGATGCAACAACAAAAAAAGAAGGGAAATTGCACTTCCTAAGGCAGGAAAGGTTGTTAGGTTTCTTTTGTTATTTTTTAAACAAAGCATCATTTTAAAACAGTTGATCATACGCAAAGGCCATACGGCCAGAATTCTGTATATGAAAGGTGATAATGTCAGATAAAGTCAGGGGTAGTTGGGGGGGGGGGGGTGTTGTGGGTCATGCCACCCGGAAATTATAGGGAAAATGGATTGATTTTGTGTTTTCTGAAGTGCATAGCAGTTGATCTGATTCTTAAAAATATTTCATTTCTGTGTTGTCTCTTAGATGGACATACTCAGTACAATGTATATTTTCAGTATCTTCGTTCTCTCCCTTAATACAGATACTCAGTACATTCAATCAGTTTGGCCTTTTTAAAACTATCTCATACACTGTTTGTCATGTAACAATCAGAAAAAATAAAAATTTCAAGTAGTTTGGATCAAAAACCGTAATGCAGCTTAAGACATCCATCACAAGGAATTGGCCATATACTGAAATTCACTTTATGCTCCTGATAAATGGAGTAGTAAAACCTCTAGCGCTCACTTATACACATGCTGCTCAGTTATCAGTCTGGTTTGACATTTATCCCAGATCAGCTTGCTCAATATTTTCCTGATCACCATGGAGTTACTTTGATCCTTGGAATATGTTCTTAACCTTACCATGCAGAAAATGTACTAAGATATGTAATATTAGGAGGGCGTTCAAAGTGATTTCTCAGTTGAGCTGTGATTACATGTGATACATGGCACTCTATAGGACTTTATAATGTTGTACATGTAAGTGATAATTGTATTTAGTAGAGAAAAGAGAACTGATGTTATATTTCTCTGTTTAAAAGCATGCTTGTCTTGTTTTTTTTTTTTTTAATAATGTATAGTAATGTGTTAACTGTGCAAATTTTATTGTATTTTATTTTTCAAAGAATAGTTATAATTGCTGAAACAGATGTGACATTTTTACGCTTTCAAAGAACGCATGTAGCCTTTTTACATGCTTAACTTCACAGCTGTGTTGGGAAAAATTTAGTTTGGTCACCCAAAGCTGGTGCTGTTATTTACCCATTTCTGTATTAAATGGAGCAGTCAGCAACAATAATGATATACATTTCATGTAATAAGCTCCCTTGTCTGTTCTAGAATTAGTCAGTGGAAATCTCAGATCTACTCTGGACCTAATGAGCAACATTAGGAAGTTTTATGATGTAAGTATAATTTAGAGTTATATTATAAGTTTATTTGAATGTAAAGTTGAGACTGTATATATAATGTTCATATTTTCCATCCAGTTTTTTTAAATATGTTGTTTACATCTTTCACATATTTGATGGAGAAAACAATAATTGATGTTATTTAGAAATGTTTAGTAGATGTGCTATCATTATGGAAACTTATGTTTCTGCAAGAGCAAAAATAATGATCAGCATTTGGAGCGTGTAGTAATGCTACCTGAAAAATTAGATGTGAGTGTTCTGATTTTTCACACATATGCACATACAAACATGCACACACACAGAGAAAGAAAGAAAAAAATAATAGTATTGGAGGGGGGGGGTCAGTGAAATTTGCTAGGATACAGTAAAGAAGAAAAAAAGTAGATTCTTATCATCCCAAGCACTCTGATTGAAAGTTGTTATCATGTTAATCTGTGACTACAACTCCCAACACAATACTGATGTAGTTTGGTACACAGGCTCTGATGGGATGAGAAAAGATGTGATAAACCCTGTGAAAGGATTGTGGACACAGCATAAAGAAGTATCATTTGACCTGTAGCAAGATTCTGTCTGGTGTCGACTATAGCTGAATGGGGGAGGTGACAATGGTGGGTGCAGGGTTGATCCAGTAAATATTCCCTATTGAACACAGAGTGATGTGAAATGCATTGTAGCATAGCCACCGACAAAGTCCTCTGTCTTTTCCCTTTTCACTTTCTGAACTCACCATGAAGATGGAAGTGGATCAGAAGCCACAACCCAGTGCACTAACTCCAATGCTGTTGTCTGAAAATATGGTGGTCCATACAATCAAATTGTCCTTCACTTAAAGAATAAATGACCGGAAAGCTTTTGTGTGCGGTAGCTTTATAAGCTCCATTTTTGTGACCAGTGGCCACTTATTATAACAGGGTTTGGACGCCGACTTGATTTGTTAATCCTGCTCGTTGGAGATATTTCCTCAGCGTGCCATATATTACATACACCAAGCCAGCTATCATGGACAATTTTCTGTATTCTGCTATTTATTACCTTCAGCCCCAGTATCATGGTGGAGGAGAGCGGAAGGACCAGAATGGAAATGTAGGGTCCCAGGGGTATCCCCCCAGGCCTGGCTCCGCCCCTGCCAGGAGAGTTCTGGAGAATGAAGGTCACACCCAGGTGCCACAAGGAAATCCAGGAACCAGACACTATCCAGGTATGAAACTATATCAGACTGTACATCATGCAGCTACATGTACATTTATTCTGTTATAATTGTGTTACTTTTGCCTTTTTATTTTTGATAGATGAACTGAAGATTCTGGTTTGTCATATATATTTTTTATTAACATCAGTGTGTAATTACTCAATAAAAAGTTGAATAAAATGAATTGAATCTATTTCCCCAAAAAATTTTTTAGTAATACTTTAGTTTTGAAGAGTTAGCTAACTTTGTTTTAGAAAGTACATTTTTATGGTTATGTGAAAACAATGAAACTTGAAAAAGTAAGATATAAGAATAAGTAAGGTGTTTGAAATTTTCTAGTTATTACTGTAATATAAGTAATGACAGATATGGGCAGCAGTGCCATGGTGACATCTAGTTCCTGGCTGTTTCTTGATCTGCCAGCACATTAAGTACATTAAGTGCTGTGCATTAAGCTAATTTGTAGCCTTCTGTCAATCAAATTGTCCTGTGCTATTATTTGTTACCTAGTTAACACAATGAAAGGCTGCTCAGATGCAGAAATTAATGATACTATCATCTTTGACTTAGTTTTGATGCTTTTAAACTACGTGCTTGTCTCAGTGGCACTTGCTGTTAGGTTTTCTATTATTTTATTTTTGGGATATTATTTGGTTTCTTTACCAAGTCATGTTTTAATATCTGAAAAAATAAAAAACTTGTGAATGTTCTTCAGACATTATGATAGACATATATTTTATGTCTCAATTTACTTAAATGAAAAAAAAATGTGTAGGCCTGTCATGCAGTCTTTGGTGTTAAAACAGATAATATATACAGAAATAATTTAAAACACTTCTCCAGGCAATCAGTTTGCTTAAATTTTGGAGTGTCTGCTATGGGCCCCTGTATAATATTGTCGTCTGAAACCAGTTTCAGAAAAGAACTTTAGCCCCTAAAATTGTCTAAATGTTAGACAGAAATTTTTGGGTTTTTTTTTCACTTTAAGTTAAATTGATTGTAATTCAATTAAATGAAATTAAGTGTTGTTCTGAAACATAAGCTATGCCTTTCTTGTTGTAAAACAAGCACAATATTTCATTTAGCTGCTGATTTATCTTGGGTCAAAGTAGACTCAAATGTTGGTCTAAAAGTTGAGACCAGTTTCCAGGCTAAAGTTGTTTTGTGAAACTGGGGCCCCCTGATAATGTCAGCTAGATTTTTCTTTTGCCTGAGTAAGTCTTGCTGTGAACAGTATCCTTTTGGCATTGCTGTAGAGAAGCATATTGATCAGCAATGAATCAGTGGGGATTACGCCTCTCCCCTTTCACTTCAAAAGCATGATAAAACTTAAACACATATTAAATTGTTGTCAATGAGGATTATGATCCTTATTAATAAATGATAGTCTCTACCCTCCTTCCAGACTCTCATGGCCTCTCTTTTATGCAAAATTATCGGTTTAAAATTTTTTTAATCAAATTTTTATTTGAATTTTATTAATCAATTTTTGAAAATAATTCACAATACTTAATCTCTCTTTTTCTGACATTTGATACAGATATTTTAATATTTTATTAAAATTCAAAACCAATTTTTATTCAGAAGTCAATGGCTTGGTCCACCAGAAGAATATGTACAATGCTGCCCCTCCTGAGATCTTGCCTGGCCTCATGGCAAAGGATGATGCTGGGGAGAAGACAGAGGTTAGAGAGCCCATAATGGTAAGTGGACAAAAATATCCATATACAGGGCATATAATGAACATAAACAACCAGTGATGGAATTTAAACAGAACCCAATTTCACTATAAGGTATATGTGAGAAACAAGCAAGCACTGGTTTCATCCCTGTACATTTATCAGCTTATAAAAGTCTTAAAATTAAAGGGAAGGGTTTTCTCTGTGGCAATAAAATGAAGCCAGTTACTGCATGTAAATTGATAAGCTTTATATGATGTACTTTATTAGTTACAAAAAGCATATAAGTCCAAGATTGGATGTAGGAGTTCATAGTGGAAATGTGTTTGGATGTAATTTGGGTCGTCTCTGCGGGGCCATAGCAATAGTCCGAAGGTTCAATAGTCCGAAGGTTCATTGGTCCGAATGTTCACTACAGAACCTTCAGACCAATGAACCCTTGATTAAAAAAACGATGAAAATGTTTTTCGGACCAATGAACCTTCGGACCAATGAACCTTCGGACTATCGAGACGCCCCCGTCTCTGCTACATTTTGAATAAATGATTATGGTGATATTGATGATAAGCATCTTGGAGACCACTCTGAAAATATTATAAAAATCTGTTTTCTTGGAGTCTTACGTGCCACTAACCTAACCCTTATGTCTTTAAATGACTTATTAAGTGCAAGGTGAAAAACTTAAGATTGAGTTGTTTTTGGGTTTAGACCTTTGACACATTATGGACCATCTTAAAAGAATTTTAATTAATTTAAAAATGAATCAGATCATTTTTGAAGGTACAAATACATTGAATTTTATTACAAACTAAAATCATAAAAATATGAAAAAAATAACATGTTATTTTATTAATCAAATTTTATGCAACAGCAAGATGGGTGTGGCAAAATAGCTAATTATATAATGAGATTTAAATCTTTAAAATTATAACTGAAGCACGTGTGTCCTAACCTTATCATCCCCTTGTTATCAGGTTGTCCCACATGTTAACACATTACACATACAGAGATAGTTGCCAGGCTAGAATCAAGCCAAGACTTGATATACAACTTCATTTCTTTCTGATTAACAGTGTCAGGGAGAGGAAGTTATCTTTACCCTTGTCCAGGGGAGACATGACATGTGAAACTGAAAGATATTAGTACAGTCATATGTTTTAGTACATTTAAGAAAAGGATTTTTTGGAAAGGTTTTAATTTTCTTTGAACATGCATGTGGGAACATATTATAAATTGGAATAAGAAGGTAAATGTGATCATGCTTTTATTTGTACATGTACAAGATAATTTTGATTACACTAGAATCAGTCTGATCTAATATCATTCAATCAGTATGATATACAATAATGTCACATTTTATACTGCCTGTTTTACTGTTTTTCAGCATTCTACAGACCGTATCTTTAGAGATAACAGCAGTTATCTCCATGATTTTTTTCCCACGAGCTGGTCCCAGCCAACAGAAAAGTTACACTCTTTTGACCATATTGCAGTACACCATTAGCTTCTAAATTGTTAACATGCTCTTGATGTGATATTTTCAGTCCACCACAGAGCTTGACCCACATGGTGTCTCCCAGCACGGTGCCAATCAGCGGCGACAGCAACTCGCCAACGTGACTTTGATGAACAACCGTCCTCGCAGTGCCAAAGCCATTCTGTCTCCAGTACAGCACCAGCCACCAGCTTCAGTCAGCCAAGCCTGGAGTGGGGCTGCTGCCAACAGGCACAATGTAAGTATTAAAAAGATGTTTCTGTTACACGCACACGTATATATGCATGCGCACACATACACAAACACACACACACATACACACAACTACAAAATACAAAAGACTCAATTGATAACCAATGATCATAGTCAGCTGGCAGACACAAAATTAGTTCCAGCAATACCTGTACATTTAGTAGTATGATTATTAATATAAGCAATTCCATTGTAAAGAATGAAAAAGAGTAATACATTTTAAGCAAGATGTAATGGGTTTTTGCCATGATTCAGTCTAACCATGCAGCCACTGTATCTACTGTACATGCTGAATTTTTAATGTGTTTTTGTAGACCAGACTGAGACATATTTCCTTTTATAATTTAAGACAGTTAAGCTGACAGAAAGCCCCTTTGTTAACCAGTCAGAGATAAAAGAAAATATCTGAATGGGAAAACGTTTTCAAAATATCATTGTAAAATAGCAAACATTAAACAAAGGAAAAAGACAGGAGTTATGGTTATTAATTACAAATTTCAAAGACTTCACCCAGTTGTTTATTTTTATCAGGATTAGACTTTTTCATTAGTCACTCCTAAAAACATATTTTCTGACATAAACCCAACTCAGAATTTTTTAATCTTCTCTAGGAAATCATTGTTTTTCAGTAATAAGATTGATTGGTTATTTATTGAGTTATAAATAACCTGAAGTTCCGTTTTGTCACACTGTTGAACTTGTTTCTCCGAACACATGCTCCATTACTTTCTGTAATTTTATATAATTATATCTTGTAGCCTGTAGCCACAGTATCACCAAGTGTGGAAGAAAGATTACGCTCACTATTGAATGAACAAGATGCAACACATCATCAAATTCAGGTAATAGATCTGAGCAATTCTTTATTTATAAGGGATTAGAGGATGCTTGGTATTTATGAAAAATTACTTAAGGGGTGAAAGATAAGGAAGAAATTCATGAAAAGGATTATTTTGGGGTGGAGTGCTTAAACCATTAACTTATACTGTCCAATGCTGCTTGGCTATTTTTTAAAAATCTAATATCTGATAAATTTGTAACATGTTCATTTGTTTTGATACTCAAATTTGGGGTTGTGATGTATACGTATCCAACTTTTTATATTTTTTCTTGTAATGTTGATGTGTGATTTTTAGGTTTTTTTTATTTTCATCTATTTTTATTTATTTACTTATTTTGCTCTGTCCAATCATACTAGCAGCATTCCTTTAAAAGGCAAAGGGTTACCATTGCCATAAACAATATATAAGACCATGTGGCAATGGTAAATACCGCTGAAGCATTAATGTGTAACATGAACTGTTGTAAACATTGTGAAATGTGAAAGGTTGTAGAAGCAAGTCAGTATATGTTATTACTTGTCAGATGAAAAAAAAAACTTGAAAAGGATTATGCAGAGCTTTAAAAAAAGGTATATATTTTAAAAGATCTGAAGACTTGCTTGGTAAATATAATTCCCTTACTGGCTTGGGGTTCATTTTTGTTATATAGGGCTCATACAAGAATGTATATTTTTTAACCAGTTGGAATAAATTATACTGTATGTTTTAAATGTGGTTCAATTATTTTTTTGACCAATTTGTTACTAGTTTGTCTAAAAAATTAGATTTTATCCCAATATACCAAGGGGTATTGGGGAGGGGAGTAAACAGCATATCACAAGAAAGGTTTTTAATCTTTTTAGTTTTCAAACAAAACTAGTTTATTTCATTTATTCTTTAGTGTGTGACCTTAAGGTCCACCCTTTCCCTTTTAACATGGTAATTACAGAAGTTTGATGTGAAAATTAGGACATATGACAAAACACTTTTAGCGCAGTGTCATGTATTTTGCACAAATTGATCAGAACAGTTTCCATGTAAACAGTAGAAAACATAATTCACAGCTGGTGAAGTTATAGCTATTTGGAAAAAATTGTTTGTGGGCAGCCAGGGAGGCAATACTGTAACAACATGCGTCTTTTGGTGGCTGCAGCACACTGTTAACTTCTTAAGAAATTCTAACTTGTCCACTTTGTCTACTGTTGCTGCTTGGTGGCTGCTGCTGCTGATGATGATGATGATAATGATGGCAATGGTGATGACATATTTTTAGGGTTACGATGAGGGTGAGCTTCTTCTTCCTCCACCTCCACAAGTACGCACACCTCTGAGCCACGATGAAGGTATAGATAACCCAAGTCTGGAAGATGACGTCAAGGACACAGCCATCTCAAGACTGAGAGACAAACACCAAAGATCACCAAGTACAGAAGGGGATGATGGCTACCAGTCTGCTTATGTGGTAAGGATTGGTTCATTTACCGTCTTACAAGATCTTAAGAGGAATTTTACATTTGGTGTTGTTCACAACATTCCAAACTTAGACCCAGAAGTTGACTAAATTACGTCAGTATGTCACCAGATTGCACACTAATTAAAGGTGCCCAAACACATTTTGAATGTGAAGGATCATGTGAATCACTGTGATTTTTCTTCCTCTGGATCCCTCTCCATACTTGAAATTTATAGAAAATGATAAATTGGAACCACTTGTGATGAAATTTTGCTCAACCTGGACAATGCAATATTTAACTTTTACTGTGATTATTCAGTAAATCTGAAAAAATGAATTACTAAATTTTCCCAAAACAATGTTTTGCCAGTAATACATGAAAATATTGATGAAATAGTTTTGAAAATAAAATTAGATGACTTCTTTCAAGAAAGTAGTATATTTTTATGAGTAGTTAAAGGTGATAAACTTCAGAAAGCAAGATGTAAGAACAAGTGATTTATTTTTTAAAAAATACCATAAGACCCACAGGAATAGGTAGAAACAGCTTAAACTTCAATAATATTAAGTTGAAATTTCAGTTTTTGAGCGGGGGATTATGACAAAAAAGAAATAAGATTTAAATGACAATAAATTCTATGGTTTGTTTCTAACTGCTTTTGTATTTTTGTGTTTGTTTTCCTTAATTAATCAGACTTAAGGCATTAGGCAAGTACAGATTCTTTGTTCAAAGTAGGTTATGAGGAAAAAAGAATGAACTTAAATTAACCTCATGTCATTTTTGTTTCATTCACTGTATTTCTTTATGTTAAGAATTAAGAAGAATAAAGATTGAAATTTAATTTTTATCAATTACTGATTGCTTAATTGCAGATTGATTTTTAATGGTGTTGGACTGTTTAACTTGTAAGTTTACTTTCATGTTAAAATATATGTTTTTGTATCTTAGTTTGATTTCTGTCAACAGTGGGGTGACTGTTACTTTCAAAACTTACGTACCCTTTTCAAAGTTCTGCATGTTTGCCTTAAGTTTGCATAATGTTTTCACCTTTCTGTTTATTTAATCGTGGGAAACATGAGCCTTAAACTGAAGGCCTATTGTTGTAACATGTTTGCAGACACAACTACAAATTTGATCATTGTTTGTGAGTTTTAAGCCCTGATTCGTGATACTGAGAAACCTGCACTGTTATTTGAGAATTCAACAGCTGAGGCAGACATTCAGATCTCATATTTTGTACTTGCAAATATTATGAAGAATATGGCACCCCTTATTGTTTTATCTTGTATTTGGTGAGTATTGTCCACATAGTTTGATTATACTTTATGAGGGCATAAAGGTAGAAAAGTACATGAACAGCTGATGAACTACATGAACCTTAATGTGTATAGCTACAGTACAGCGTACCATCAGGAAAGCTACTGTATATGCATGTATCATGCTTGGCTCCCAGATTGGGAAAAAATTATTTTTTAAGAACATATAGCATGATGAGAGAACATTATATCTAATAAGACCATTTACCTGCTTTAAGTTTTATTTTAAAATATAGGCTAGCAAGTTTTTCAAGTTTTAGCTCATGAAGGCAGGTACATTGTAGTATGGAAATAGTGTTGTTCCAAATTTGTTTTTAAAGATTTTCAGATATTATGCACATTATCCAGTGTTTGTACATGTGTATATTCAGAAGAGGGCTGAAATATTTATACAAGGAAAATATCATTAATGCCAGTACATAGAGATATCTGATGTGATATTATAAAGCATAGGAATGTAAGCAAATGCCAGAGCTGGTAATTCACAGACATATTGACATGGAGTTAGTACATTGGAATCTTAAATCAAAATGGATAGTAAGATGAATGAACACAGAGATATGAAAAAGGCATTTTGAATAAGTCCAAGGTTAAGATAGAAATATTTCCTGGAAAGACGTCTGTGCAAACAATGAACCACCAGTGGCGATTAAATTTGAAGTAAAAGTTTACTGCAGATTTGCTGCAAACTATTTTGTTTGCAGCTGACAATCTCAGTGAGTTTGCAGTAGGCACGTATCCCTCCCATGAGGCACCCCTTTTCCTAGCTTCCCCCACAAAATGATAACTAGCAAAAAAAAAAGACAAAACTGTGCAATTCTTCCATACCTGTGCTTTAAATATTATTTTAAAAAATTGTCCTTGTTAACTGCTTTAAATTTTCTCAAGATATCCTTGTCCCCCCTTAGCCAAATTGTGGACATGCCAACAACCTTGCAGCCTTTTTAAGCATTTTTTCCCTATAAAGAAAATACTTTTAAAAATGCTAATACAAAAACAAACATTTACTTGTTCCTTCAAATATTAACTTATTTATTTGCTTATCTGTTTTTAGCCTTCACAGCCAGACGAGAAGCGCCAGGGACCACGGGGGCAGGTGTTGTTAGACAGAATGCCCCAGCACGCCCTCTCCAGGCCCCCACCACATTTGTATACCTCTGATTCATCAACAAACAGCAGTTTTAACATAAGCACCAAGTCCCCAGGGAAACAAAGGTAATACATTAATTAACTATGAAAAAGCTGTAAAGAAAATGTAAGGGTTTGTATGTGGAAAAATAGTGTAGAATAATTTTATCTCATGCAATTTATGTATGATTTATATGTGCAATTAATGAATAGTTGAAATTATCAGGTTTGTTATGAAAAATTATGATGCTACTTTGATTAAGATTTTCACATTGGTTGGTACACTGCATGTACTTCCCTAGGCATAAGTCCAAAATTGTTTAAAAGTGGGCTAACCTTTGTTTTAATGTTTTGATGGATTTGTTACACTATACAGACACATTAAAGTATTATGCAAAATCATATCAATTTATTTTCTGCATAAGTTGAGTGTACTTCATGACATAAACTATATACAACAAGCACCACAGGACCTGAAATGAGCACCTGGTTTAACCTATTATTTATCCATGTTTGCATTATTTGTGCCTTATTTGTGCCCTGAAAATGTATTAGGAATAATTATTCCAAGTGGTCAATCCTGTGATACCTGTGACCCATATAGCTGTAATCCACATGTTTGTACTTTATGTTGACACTGCTTTTCTTAAACACCCGAGTCAACACTTAATACCGCAAACTGAATATTAATATGTCACAAATCTATTGGCTTATCCCTATGAATGACTGTCTTAGTAAATCTGGACTGGATAGAAGTTAGAAGAGTGGAAGGGAGGCTTTTTTTATGTAAAGAAAGTATGATATGGGCCCAATATGTGCAGCCCTGAGTTCTATAGAGTCTGGGAAAGAAGTTTAAAACTCAAAACAAATTTGTACTTCTTGGTGAGGAATTGCTGGTTTTAGAGAGTAATTTCTGATATGTTTAGGCTTTGGAAATTGAGGTTAAAGGACTACTGATATATATATTTTATTTATCTCCATAGTTTGTACATCTGTAAGAAAAAAGTAAATGTACAAGCAATAATTTGGTGAATTCTTCTATGTTTTCAGGGAAATGGATAATTCAAACAGTGATCTGCGGGATGCCTGTAACCGCTTGTACAGCAAGGACAGAAACACAAGTCTTACACAGTTTGCTCCTGCTCCAGTAAGTCAGCCATTGCTACTTGTGTACATTTTTGTTTTGTGCAGTTGCTGCATTATGAAGATAGATTTTTAATCATGGTGATATCACCTATGAAAAAAATTACAGGTGAATAAAAGTTGATAACCTTGTGTAAAAATGGAGTTTTTTAACAGAATTTGTGTTGAAAATTGTATTTTGTAAAGACTATCAATTTTGTTATATTCATTGTTTTCCCATTTCTAGGCAAACTTCCATTGTCTCAAGTCATTGTCCCAATAGGAGAAAGAAATTTGAAAGAAAATCTTAAAATTAGATTGTAAAATGATGTGATTGTTGCTGTATTCAAAAGCTTTCAAATAAAAATGATAATTATAAAATGTACCTAAATTTATTTTCAGCTCTCCCGTCCAACAAGTGCCACAGGTCCTAGGCCTTATTTGCCCCCTGGTGCACATCATGGGTCAGGTTCACACAGCTCTGTTAGTCCAACCAGCTCTAGTTCGGCATACACAACCCAACCTGGTGGGGGCAGTACCAGCCCTGACAGCAGTAACTATTACAGATCTCAGCTACCCAATACTGGAGGGTACCCCAGGCCCAATGTGGGAAATACAGGAAAATTTGTACCCCCAGGTGTTGGAGGTTCAGCACAAACTAGCCAGTCAGTGGGACCTTTGAAGGAGAGGTATTTAAAACAACAGAGGGAGCTGAATAATAGGCCACCTGTTGCACCAGGACAGCAACATATCTCACAGGGAGAGCCTGCAAAACTTTATGACGAAATAGGCAGTGGGCTTATGTCGTGGATGCACAAAACAGGCCCACAGGACAATAAAGGCATGTCTTTCTTAGCAAACTTTACACGAGGCATGCCTTCGACAACCACCCACTTCAATCCTGGGTTCATCAATGGAGATTTAAGTGGTGACGAAGAAAATGACTTTGGTACAACCATGAGCGATACATCTTCGATGACACCTCCATTACCACCGTTATCCCCCTCCAACACCCCACCAGCCACACCCCCTGATTCACCCACCTTGCCACAGTTTGCTCGCTCTAACAGTAACGTGGAACATTCACTGAGTAGGCCAGACTTGATCCTGAGCTCGGCAACAGGGAATCTTGCAGGAAGAAAGAAACCTGTGATGAGAAGAGCATCATCTGAAGGAACAAATAAGAAGTCACCTGCCAAGGGTTCGCCAGTCAGGAAGCAGCAGCCAAGTAAGATGGGAAGGGCAGGTAAGTTAGGTTTATATACGATGTAATTTTAGGGGCCTGTTTAGAAAAAAGGACTTCAGCCTGACAATTGGTTTAAATATTTGGATAAAAATGCTAGTCTACTAAGATCCAAGATAATTCAGCATTAGCACAATTGAATTCAATATTGCACCAGTTTTATAACAAGGAACACGTGGTTTATGTTCAGATCAACACTTCATTTGTTTAAGTGGGCTATTATGGATTTATTTTGAACAGAAGTAGACCAATTTTATTTTTTACTAAAGTGCTTTTATAAAAATTGCCCAAGATGACTGATTAATGTCTAAAAATTCATCTGATTTGTTTCATTTTGGTTCTCTCATTTGCAGGTGCCTCACTTTCTGATGTTAAAGAATATGAAGAGGACACAGACACGGGGCAAGACTCTGCTGCCTGGGACACCAACGATGAGACCCAAGACAACAAATTCCATGACAGTCTAGATTCTAATGAGGCCACAATCATACGGGAACAGTTAGATGCATTAGAGACAATGTACCATGAAATACTAAAACTTCTCGGAGTGGATAAAACGAGTAAAATGACTAATTTGATGTCTGCTAGGAAAAAGTTTGGTTCATCCAGTACTATTAGTCGTGGCAAGGGAGGCAAGGGGAGCATACACAGAGGAAGGGGGCCTATGACCAAAGACAGTATGAAGTAAGCAGATATAGAAATATGTAGAGTCATTGGATTTATTGGATAATTTGTTAAAAAATATGAATAGATCTATACCTTTTGTGATGTTTAAGACAAAACTGTCATCATGATTCCAAAAGGTATGGATCCAAATTTCCATAAATAATCTCAGGAAGCAGATACATTTTGACTAATTTGATTTAGTTACAAAATTAGGTTTACAATGCTTTATATAATGTTCATGATGTTTTTATGATGAAAACAAATTGTGTTTTAGCGCATGGCTTATCAGTTTTCTTTGGACTAAAGTCTTTAAGTTTGCACCACTAGATTCTGTCTGGTTCTATATATATATATATATATATATATATATATATATATATATATATATATATATATATATATATATATATAATGATATACTTTTACCTTTTGATTGATAAATAGCCTTTTCACATATCGAGTATTATAGTTTGGCGATACAGCTGTACTGGTATGTTTTGAGAGATTGACAACTGAAAAGCCTGCATATTACATAAGACTGTCTCCTAAACAGCCCCATGTTTGACATGGCCACCTAACTAAACAGCAAGAAAAAAAACTTATGGAGAAATTTTGAAAGGGAGTAAAATCAGCTGTAGAGTATTTACATAGGATAGAACCTCTAAAAACATTCTGATACAGCTGTATAATATATTAGGTGTTAAATTATAGAGAAATGCTAATTTTCATAAGAAAATGTATTCTTTTCATATTTTAGAAACATAAACAAAAGATTTGCGCGGCTAGAATCTCATGTTGTGACATTAGCTCGAAGTGTGGCACACCTGTCTTCGGAACTTCGATCACAAAATACCATGTACGAACAGTTAGAAGCCCTGAAAAAGGATGTCCGAGAAATGAAGGAGCAGCAGCTGTCTGAATTAGCCAAAAATGGCATTAACCCACATGTGGAGGAGTGGGAAAGATTCAGAGGATGGGTTCCCTCACTTACCAACCCTAAGAGAGTTAATAAACTCACCAAGTAAGTCTTTACGGATAGGCTCATAAGGGGAGTTTGGGGGTTCACAGCCCTTTTGGCAGGAAATTAACCAATACCCCAGTAGTAAATTAAATATAACTCTTGTTTTATATATATATGTAAAAGACATGACCGATAGTAATTCTATGCATTTATCTTGAACTGAAGTACACCAAAATTTTCAGACAAAGGTACTTTGGTGAACCTGGCCCCAGTTGTGCTGTGGTGTTCCCCATGCATTGTGTTTGGATCTCACCTATCACAATGTTTTGTTCACATTTCAGATTTTTTGGTACTGAGCCTCCACTGTTACAGATTTTCTTGAAGAAGCTAGGTTATGAGGTAAGACTAACCTAGGAGATAATCTTCATAATAACAATTTTTTTTATGATGTAAAAATGTTTGTATGATTATTAGTGATATATTTCAGTGTAAAAAATGTAATCATTACTTAATTTTAACACTAGCTATTAATTCAAGTTGTGTGACAACTGTAACTAGATATTGTAGTAAATACGCACACGGTGTATTGCTAAGTACATTTTAAACCTAATTTTTGGGGGGTTTTAGAAAAGAAAAAAGACTTATCTTTAAGAAATGCATTAATTTTTGTTTAATTTCAGAAATACATCCATCTTTTTGAGAAGGAGCACATTGGTATGGTAGAGCTCCCATACATGACAGATGAAAGGCTAGAGAAAATTGGAATTCCTCTTGGACCCAGGTTACGGATATTACAAGAATCACAGATGTGCTTCAGACAGGAGAATTTTAATATATACATTGTATAAAATTTATTTGCCTTGAGGGACACAACACTTAGAGGACTATTTAGATTTTTAAAAACATTTAAAGCTGCCAAACCTAAAATGCATTTGAATATCAGGTCAAAACACTATGTAAATGATTCATTCCATATATAAATTATTCATGCCAGTGTTGGGTTATTGCCCTTAAAATTATGTAACCTTTTTCTAAATGTTCTATTATTTCTGTGTGAGTTTCATCCTTTAAAAAATACCAGTTTTTCCCACCATGAATGAGTTTAAGTGGTAATATTAAAGTAAAAAATACATGCTAGCCACTCTTTTGTTAAGCCCAGTCACGTATTGGACGTATTGAAGGGTGTTTTACTTGTAAATATTGAAATAATCTGACAGGTTTATCAGATGACTCTACCTCGCCCTTTTACTTTCTGTCTAAAGAAAACTACGGTTAGCATCTTTTATCTTATGATAGTTCTGTGCTTGAAATAATGGTTTGATTTAATAGAATGACAAGAGGGCACCTTGTACTGCACAGTTTATCACTTACAGTATGAGTGATTGTAGACATTATTTGATATAATTTGCATGCCACTTGTGCTAAACCCACTCAAAGAGAAAAGAGATAATATGAGTAAAAAGTGGGACTTCGATTTTTTAAATGAAATTATACAATACTCGCATTAACAATAGCCAAATGTTCAATTGTCTTATTGATTTTTTTCTGGAAGTTTTATTTCGAACTGTCTCATCTGTTGAAATCGAGTACTTTTAAACTGCTTTTTATTTAATTAATTAGGAAGTGGTTTTACATTGAATTGCACTCATAGTATTATAATTAAATTATTTTTGGCACAAGTATTTTGCATTATGTCAGTCAGCAAAACAATACACATTCTACTCATAAGAGATCTTTGAGTGTGAAGGTAAAAAGTGCCTTTTTAATATGGGATGTTTTCAAGTAGATTTGGTAGATTTATACATCTTATTTACACATATGTCATGCACAGCAATCATTTTCATCTGTACATATTTGTAGAAATTAGCTGTACATATCTACAGTGTACATGTACCAGAATATGACAGTTTGGTTTTGTTTGTTAACTACAAAGTCAATCTAAAAGTAAGCCAATGAATAATTAATTTATGAAACAATTTGAATTTGAATTTTCTGTTTATACATGTGTTTATAGTACAAAATACATTGTCAAATATCTGTTATTATATTCCAATTCTGAAAATATTGTAAAAATACACAAATTATGAAAAAGAACATTTTTATTGATTTTGATTGAGTTAACAAACTTGCTAATCTGAAATATCTTTTATGCTTTTCTTTAATATATGTGTGAACATAAAAAGGAACTTTAGGCAGACATTGCAGCTTTGCAAGTTTGACAAGTGTACAAATTAGGCTCACCAAGAAAAAATTAATTAAAAAAACAAAACGATGATAAAGAACAATATAAAATATTGAAGATCAATTGCTCATCCGGACCCTGGATATAAGAGGACGCTGGGAACTAGCCTGTCTACTTTTATCATGCTGATAGTAATGGTGTTTTTCCAGTGTCCTCTAGAACTCAGGGTGCTCATTTTCAAAGGCTTCCCTAGAGTGCGCAAGGGGGGGGGTCAGTTGTGAAATAAACTTTCCGCAGCAATAAAAGTTACCTCATGGAAATCGTTTTTAAAGCACTATAATACAAAATTGAGCATAAAAGGGTTTTATTTAGTTGAAATATACTACAGACAAAATTAATTTTGTATAAGTCGCGTACTTAACCCAAAATCATGTTTTCCCAAGCGAGCACCCCCAAAATTCTTGTCCATTTCAAGATGGCTCCCACCACAACAACGTGTCTGCAGCAGTAAGTAGGTAAGCAAAACTTTGCATACTTTTCTAATCCCCGAGCACAAACGCTTTTTGGGTGAAGTGCGTCTGGATTGTATAGAAAATGCTCTCGTACTCTACTTAAGTGCAGTTTGTGAATGTAAAGCCTTGGGTTTAGAGTAGCACGGCTGATTTAGCCATTTCTCGACTCGCCGCCCTGGCGTTCAAGGGTCAGCTGGTACGAGAGAGTGTCAATACAAACGTCTTTTGAAAACTAAAGCAAATGTAAACAATAGTGCCCGGTCCAATTTACCCTAGCCTCTATTCATACTTGTTAAAAGTTGTGTTTTCTTTACAGCTTTATTAATAAAGTTATTCAATTCGTGATATTGAATACACCTGGTTTACCCGAGAGGATCAATGAATGATCGGGGCTATATGCCGACTAAATTTACACTCGATATGTCTAGACGGGTCGCATAGTTTTAGTAAAAAGAGGTGGCAGGCAGGAATGGCCAACTTGGTGACACTAGCCAAGTTTGTGATTGATTGATATGTCATTTTGGTGCACAGTGACATATTTGTGTCGAAAAAACGAGACACTGTCTGGCGTTCCACTGATTTGAACGGGAGTGACGGTAGACGAAACTTGATTGATGAGATAAACAAATGGGAATACAATATTGAGAGGTAAAAAGTACAATGTTTTTCTTTCTTTTTTTCGTTTTTGTGAACTTGCAACAACCATCAGCGATGCTTTAAAATGCTACTTACATGGATTTTTGTCATGTTAAAAAAAACAAGGTCTGGAAGTATTGCACACAGTTGAAAAGTTCTGCTGTCCAGAGAACCAATGTCTGGAGAGAATAAGTAATAGAGACTGGGGTCCTATGGAGTATTTCCAAAGTTCATTAGACCCGAGGTAACAAGAACAGGTGTCAACATGCATATGGCCCTGTGGCTATATATGTTGACAGAGGCTATTATTGTTATATAAGAGATAATGATTCTTGACAGATTATGTTTATCTGACTGATTACTAAATTGAAAACCCTAATCTGATTGAGCTTATTGGCAGGTTTTAGGCACAGTTTTAAGGTAACTTGAAAATGGTTAGAATTTAAAGGCTATTAGATTTATATTTTCTTAACATCATTGGCTAGAGATGTTGGAGCCGCTGTGCCCATAGTGGCTTAAAACATGTTTTATCAAACTAGTCCCTGCATGAGGTAGCACAGTCTACCATAAAAGACCTTCAGTATATAGCCTGACTTTATGCAGACAGTTATTTAAAAAAAAAATCAAACTGTCCTTTCCATGTGTAACTTTGTATAGAATTGGCTTTCATACAGATTTTTTACCAACATGACCCAGGTACATTCCAGACTGGGGTCGTTTCCACTAATCTATCCTGAGTAGAGTCACAACAGTGACAGGCAGGCCTATCATGAGTTATCTGCTTCAGTTGGTTTTGTTGGTTGACCAAACTTTGCCCAGGCAGGAGACAGAGTTCATTAGCTTAAATTCAACTTGAAGGGCCTTCTTAACAAACAATCTTAAACCTGAAAAGTGGAATAAACTTTTAAGACCAAAAGTTTGGCCAACTTCAGTACATGATAAGTTTTTACTATAGTAAAGTAGTAGTCTGGACACTTATATATAAAGTAAGTATTGGTGTGGAAACATTAGCCGTGGCTCTCTTGGTGTGAAGATTGGTTAAATACTTAGGGTCTATTCCCACAACTTTAGATCGATCTATCACCGCGGGGAGTCTCACTAGATTACTGTCAGATAATCCCAGTTAAGTGTCCGTCCCCGCCTACTACAAGCTGTAAGGGGTAATTAACTTTCGTGTCCGCCCGGCTGACAGCTATTTAGCATGAACCCCCAGGGAGTTAGGTCGATCTAAAGTAGGTCGATCTAATCTATGGAAATGGGGTGTTAGATAAAAAATAATAATTACTACTACCCATTAATCTTGAGTCAAAGTAGACTGTAATCTTAACCTAAAAGTTTAGAACAATTTTTGGGCTTAAGTTCTTTGTGAAGCAGGCTTTGTGGTTTTTCTGATGTCTGTCTCTGTTAAAGATTTTTTTCCTCTTTCAGCAGTTTGGTGAGATCCCTGTACTCTGGTCTTGGATATTTAGGACAGTAACGTTTGATGACAAATTGAAGGTAAGTGAAATCATGTTTGAGTTTAATGGTTTCCTTACAACCTATATATTTGGTAACTGCTTCAGTCAGATATTATTTTATATATGTATATGTAGATTTGATACCTGGGTTTGCTCTAACTTACAGCAACCATTTTTGCTAGAAACAGGCCTTTGGATGAGTAATATGTGCTGGAGATAAGTTACAACTGTTAAACAAATTCATTTTGTATGTCACAGGATACTTGAGTCATCTAAACTGACAGATTACACTTGAATTATGAATGCAGAAAGCTTATTACCTTCATTATGTTACACAGAAAAAAAACTAATCAAAATATAAACAGATAAATTGCGAAAGTACCTTATTTTTTGTTAAGCCAAGACAGAAAAAAATCAAATAAAGATATTTATAATCAGATAAATCATGAGATTGCTGTATTGTGTTTCATAATCAGCTCTGTTGTATTTATTAATGAAGTGGCATGCATTGTGATTACCCTGAATTAGGAGGACTTGGATTCTGTTCACAACTAGAAAGAAAGATATGGTTTATGAACTGAACTGAACAACTAGGGTTGATTTTGCAAAATACCTTCGTCTGAAAATTGAACAATCTCAACTTTTAGACTGAAGGTAAGGTCTTTTTCAGTTTAAGGGTCCATTCCCAATGACACTATGGTTCTCCATAGATTGATACAACTCTTTGTTGACTCTTGCTGAATGTAATCATAATATTAACAGGCTTCTTCCTGGTGTTGAGTAAAAAACTGTAAAGCTAGTGATTATAGGATTGGTGGGGATGACATGGTTCATGAACTGAACTCAACAACTAGGACTGCTCTTACAAAAGAACTTCCCCTGAAAATTTGACCAGTCTACAATTTTAGACCAAGGCTTTTTTTTTTCAGCAGATAAAGGCATAGGAGTCCACTTAAAAAAGTAAGTATTGGTCTGAAACATTGGCCATGTTTTTTTTTTTTTTGTAAACCAGGGACAATATTTCATTTGATTGCACTGCTGCAAATGTTTTGGGTCAAAGTAAGCTCAAAATTTTGGTCTGAAACTTATGATCAATTTTCAGGTTAAAATGTCCTTTTTGAAAGAAGTCTCAAGGCTCAGGACACAATTACATAGCACAACGTGACAACTTCAGCAATGTGGCCTTGCAGCACCTTTCCTTATACTTAGTTTTGCTTATTTGAAAACCATTCTTAGTTGATTGTTAGACTCAATGATATAAATTTGAAGTGCATCTTATGCTTTTAACGTCTCCATCCCACATTGAATAAATGCATTACATAGGTTGTGCAACATGATAAAAACACATTAATGGGAACTTTATGTAGCTTAAGGACTCTATGTTTGGAAAATGAGCTTTAAAAAACAATTTTTAGATTTTTAATGTCTAAGTAATAATCAAATATTTATCTTTCATTGAATAAAAAGATATTTTTACATTTGAACCAAAAATTAATATTTCAGGGGTTCTTTCTTATTCCATGGCCCATCAACACTAGTGGCCTGTTCTAAGCAGGTGTGATTTAGCTTGGGAATATGATCATATGATTATGTGATGTTACCATATAATCAGATGAGCCATATTTACTGTATTAAGACATCTTAGGCAAGATGGGTTCCCTTTGTAGTCTTTTGTCTGTTAATGTCGAATAGTCTGGTCTTTTTCAGGTAAATGTTATCCTGGGTATTGCTTATATAAATCAAAGAAACTTAAGACCAAAGGCTTATCTTAAGTTTAGACCAAATATCCAGTCTACTTTGATTGAAGATAATATATAGTTGAATTACATATTACCATTATTTTTTACCACAACAAAGAAATGGCCACTGTTTTAAACCTAAATTTACTCTTTCATTTTTTAAGTAAATCAGGTTTATTCTTAAAGCAATAATAACTCTTCGTTTCGGCCAAAAAATGAATTTTCCTGGAGTAAACAACAATTTTCCCATACTTACCAATGGTTAATGAATCCATTTTTACATTCAAAGTTAGTCCCTGGTTTTTTTCCAAAAAGTTTGGTTTTTTGTTAAAATCTCTTAAGAGATTTTAACAAAGTATAGACATCAATGGAGGTCACGTGGTCTAAAGACAAGTTCAAATATGAGAATAAAAGCTATAACTGCTGTTTTTGTGGTAAAACATAATATATTATATTTCTATGAGTTATTCACAAGGTTTTTATTGTGAAATATAGGTCTCATACAAAGAGTTATTATGCCTTTAATTGAATTAAACCAAAATTTTAGCTGAAAATTTAAGACCAACTAGATGTTCAAATCTTCTTTTTGAAAATGACTCCTGTACGGCCATAATATTGTACTAGTAAATAAGGTTCAAGTCAACTGATGTATTGCTACAGTAGCAATCATCATGTGATGAGGACAAAAGATGTTTTTATTACTTAGTAGTAATAAATCTTCCTGGTCTGGCATCACATGATATTTGTGATTTGTATGTAAATAACAAAAAGCAACACTGTAACAGAAGTTGTTTATACAATATGAGGAATTTTGGGAGTGCTCCACGAATTTATGGCTACAATCTAAAATTTGTGCAATGCTTAAGTAACACTATAAGATGCATATCTATTGCATAGTGATTCACAGGAAGCTTATCTGAGAAAAAAGAAAGAAGGAAATGGAAACTAATGAAAACAAAACAGGATATTTGTAAATCACGAGGAAAAGAATTGGCTTGTTTACAACAGTGTCACAAAATGTATGCAGCTTTTAGTTGTGGTAAGGGTTTATGAAAGTTTACCACATCCAGGGGTTCTTGGCAGCTGTTAGTCAACAGAAAGGGAGAATAAAGACTAAAATACCATAAATGTTATGCAGAGAGATGTAGCTACAAGACCACAAATGTAACTGATACTAAACTCTAGTGCATCACAATAGGTATGCGTATATGTGGAAGATAGATTAATATGTTTGTGGTAATGTGAATACCTAAAGCTTGTGCATCAGGGGACTTTAGCTGCCTTACATATATATATGTATGTATGTATATGGCAGTTCGGTCAACAAGAATAAATCATGTCAAGGTTGAATGCTTTATCTTTAAGGTAGCCACATTTGGCGCATTTAGACAAGGGCTAAATGTGTTATCAGTGACTGATCACAGAGAGACCAGCCCTTCATCTCTAAAGCAGTATGACATCTGACAGTACAATTTAGGATGAAAAACATTCCGAAAATGGCCCAAGTCTGACTACCCCTACACACCTATAGTTTGACAGACAGGTGCCTAAGGAGGATAGACAGCACAGTTCTCTGACTATAATCTGTAGAATAGGAATAGTAAACAAGGGAAACCTGACACTTCATATCACATTTATCATTTAAATGCAAAATACCTGTTAACTACTGAAGCTATGTGTGTATACCTGTTATGTTAGCACTGGGGCCTTGATTGTCTAGTTGTGACTTCGCTTCCAGGGTAAGTTGAAGTTGAAGTGGTATTTAATGTTGTCTTTCAGTCACTAGATGAGGCCTTGAGAAATAATTCTTTGTTAAGTGTTTGTTGCTGTGCATTCTGTATAAAATGGAGAGACTGAGACTCACTGATAGGTTTTGTGATATTGTTAGAAGCAGTGAACAGTTTATGATATTACAGTAGTTAAATTGCCATAGTATTAGGGATTCTTTTCTTTATAAATGACATAGTTGCTGAATGACCCATGTCATGGGTGATAACAAAAACATAATGCTTTATGCTTTGCACTGTTTTATCAAGTAATTCACCCCAAACTCTTACCCCTAACCACCCTTTTTAAGATCCCCTTAAAAAGACAAAAAACAGTATGGTCATTTCACTTTCAATTGTTTCCCAAAAGTTTGAAAGCTAAGTTGCAGGTTCTTATTGACCATGCTACTTGTGAGTTTAGGCACCTACATAACCATGTGTGAGAGAATTCATGACCTCTTTGTTTAAAAAAAATATGAAATGTGAAATATGATTTTTTGTAGTTAACCTTGAATTGATAATAACCTTATGAAGCATTATACGTGATTCACATTCATAGGCTTACTATCTGTATAGTTAAAATGCACAGTGAATTACAAAGGCGTTGCTTATCTTTGGTGTGAAAAATAGCTTTTATGTTTACGCAAAAATGTGCCAGTATGACTTTTTTACTCATCATTTTGAAGATTTTATGCATCAGAAATAGTGATGAAGTCACAGGCAGAGGGTTGTCATAATGAGGTTCAGATACTGCTAATTGACCATAGCTGAGCTGTCAAAAGCAGTAAACTCAGGAGAGACAAGTAATTATCAGCAGGGATGGATTGCACTGAGCCATGGTATAACTTTAATTCAATTTCATGTATGAGCTGTGCATTCCTTAAAGCTGTCTCTTTGGGGAATTTTATATATCACCTAGTGCTCTGCTATCTCTGATAACAAGGCGTTCAGCATTAGCAAACTAATACCCTCTCTCTCCCCCCCCCCCCCCCAAGCAGGGTAAGAATACATTATAGTTGTTGCTACCATGTGAAAGCATTTAAGCTTATTGAATTTTATTTTTTGATACTGTATCTTTGTTTTTAGATGTAACACTGATGACATGATAAAAGACTGTTTATGTTTTCAAACTATTATTTCCCAGAAATTGCACTATTAAACTTAAAGTGATGGCAGTCCTTGAATGATAACTTACTTGACCAGCTTAAGTTTGTATTGGCTAGGGGCTTATGTATTTAATAATTAACCAAAGCAGGTCGAAACAAGGTGTGGCCATCGCACCTGCTAATAGCTTCACTTGTCTCAACTATCACACTTACACATCCCTTTTACAAACATTCACCATTAGATTGTGAGGTATTTGAACATGATTACCTCTGCCAAATTGGAGGCTGTGTTTTCATCAGCTTTGGCTCAGTTTGTTTTTGGATAAGATATCTAAAAATATTCTTCACACATTTTGATTAAATTTTCAGGATTGGCAATTATGGATAAATGAACTGAGTTTTGGGCTCCTAATATTTTAAAAGATTTTTTAGTTTTATTTTATTTCAGTTTATTATTTTTTACGTTTTGCATTGGCAAAAGTAGTTTGGTTTTGTATGTTTTAAAAAAGTTTGTGAACTAAGATATATATAATTCATCAGTAAAGAGGATCACCTGGTACCATTTTTAGAAACAGTTGATTTGTCAGCATGTAGATATCATAATTTAGGAAGTGACAGATCAAAATCTATTTGGTTTCATTTATATTTTTTCAATTTTTCTTTTTAAGAGAGGTCTGCATTGTCTGGAAAACTGTAACTTGAGTGCTTCTTCTTTTGAAGAGAAAGGATACTAGATATCCTCGTGATATGTGATAACATAAGATTCATTTTAGGACGTGGCGCAACATGTGATGATGACGAAGTGCTTTTACTGTAAAACGTAGGGTCTGTTTCATTAATGGACATAGGTTTTTGAACCTGGCTTACATTATTTAACTGAGATCATGAAAAAGGCACAATTGACCTTGTAATATTGGTTAATTGGTGTTTGATTTTTGCCCATGATAGATATAGCTGGCATATCTAAAGTGGTAACTGTCTTCTGATTAAAAATCAGTCTTAGACAATTGGAATTTAGTCCTAGGGTTTTTTAAAATAAATATAAAAATAATAAGCAGCTTGTAAGGTGTTTTTGTAACATAATCAGTCAATTTTTGACATAGTGCCTTCTGTGAAACAGGGTTCAGACTTACTTTAAGAATGGAATTCTTTGTATCTGCTACTTGTTATCAGTACTTTCTACTTATTTTGTTTCCCAAATGCTCTTACAAAAAAGTTATAATTGCTTTTACCAAATAAGATATGAATGATTTTTCTTTAAAACAAGTACATGCTAGAGTAAATCTAATAAGCTGATTTTTTAAAATAAAAATAGTTATTTTCCATCTCTTACTTTTGTATGGGAGTTTTGCTCAAAATATTGCTGTGCAGTTATTAGAAGTTTGTGTCCATTTGTGGTAATTCTTGTGCAAATAAAATTATCCATTTACTTTTAACACCTCATTGAAAGCAGCTAATGTGCACCTTAGGTAAAATGACTTTATGCTTCTCTCTGCACAGAATGACTTTCTAAGAATATGAGGGGTTCTTTGAGTTATAATGGTGTTCATTATCGACAAAAAGCTAGAATTTTTATGCCTGGAGTGATTTTTTTTGTTTGATGATATTGATGAATTAATTAACCAAGCATGACTTTGGAATGAATGTGTAATGAAACTCTGTTTTCTTAGGATGATTGTTCTTATTATTGCAAACAAGTTCAATATTTTATGTGCATAAGGTCTTATAGATTGGAGCAGACATCTTACAAGTTCTTGAGTGCTAATTGTATTGATATTTGGCACAGATGCAATCAGAAGGACTGTGGTAATCAATGGTTTCCAATATTAATCAGATTGTGAGACTTCTTGATAACTTCACCTAGATCTTACTGTTAATATTTCTCAGATTCAAGTTTGAAAGCCTGTCACTCATGTTTATAGATACAGATTGTTGTTATGAATTGGTTTGCTTTCCTAAATACGTACATATACTATGAGCCTTTTATGTATCATTTATGGTTCTCTCTCTCTCTCTCCCTCTCTCTCTCTCTCTCTCTCTCTCTCTCTCTCTCTCTCTCTCATTGCAACTCTTTAATAGATATATTAAAGATATATTAACAGCATATTAGATAGTGTATAACTCTTATTAAAATCAATCATTGGCTTCATGAATACATTATCATCATCATCAAGCAGACACATACAATATACAAGGAATTTGGATGTATGCCTAGTTCCTGGGGTGTTGTAACTCCAGTCATCCTAATCAATACAGAGTTCCTAAACATGCACTTAGCCATTAGGAAAAATCCCTGTTGAGGAGGTGACATTTGTGTTACATTTGGTCTGGTCAATATGCTAAACAATTAGTGAAGAGAAGAAGATATAGACATTCATAATGCAATGGGAAAGTTCAAGATGTTTCTAGGGAGGATAGATACATTATATCCACTTATGGAGGGTATTATTTGAAAATTTTTATCATGTAACATCTGTGGCTTGAGGAAAGGAGTCCCTTTTATTGATTTTCAGTGACTTATTTAACAAAAAATAGTTTTATAGTAATGCCATTTTAAATCAGATACAAAATGTGCTTACATTTAAGTAAAAATACACTTTTCCAAAGCCAAACTTTTAAAGATTAATATAGATAATTTATGATACACTATATTTTCTTATATTTAAAGATCAAGATCACAGCAGCTCCTTTTGATGAAGAATTCTCCAATACTGGCTGCAGCAGTTAAGAGGGTTGTCATCACCAGCAGTGAAAACAATGGCACAGAACCCTGTCAGCAGTCCACAAGAACCAGATTACTACAGCTCCAAGTATTTCACAGTAAGCTCTCAGAAAATTACTTGCCCAGCAGTGAGGTTAATGCTTAAGCTGCCACTACCAACTAGAAATATATAAGCTGCTTGCTTTTAGCTATATCTCACTAGAGTGATTCCAATAACAAATTGTGGGGTCCACCATCAGTCTATCCATCCGTAGAAGCTCTTATAAGCTGCAGTATCACAAATGCAATTTGGACTCTACCACTCAAGCAATTAACAGCATCCTTCCTCCCCGAGTGGCTGAATCCATGATTCACATGAGACTTTTACTAGTGGGGCTGCAGGGTTTTAGTCAAGCTTATATATGATTCACTATATTCTGTGCATAGAATTCACGGTATGGCAGTGATGACTTGACAGAAGGAAAGGAGGGTGTTGTTGCGTAGATTAAGACAGCATGGAGACTGATTCGCAGGATGATTCTGACAGTGGCACCTACACTCCTGTAGGCAAGAGACTGTCGGCCTACCTGTTGGTGAGTTGTGCACATGTGTTGGCACGCACATGCACTTGTGTACATGAGTGTGTGTTCGTGTTCAAGAAAATTATTCATGACACAGATGTACAAACGTCTATAAGGACATAATACATGTCACACATACATTTCAAATGTACTTGCTTAACTTTCACATGCATGCACACACGAACAAACATGCATGCATGCGCCATCTAACTTTCTGAACTATTGTGGACAGGAGAAGAATTATGGAAAAGATCACACTGAGGAGGTAACATGATGTTCACATCTTTAGCTAGCTTGATTGTGGCTTTCAATTTTCTTCTTTCTGTTTGATTTTTAACAGCTTTTCACTGTGTTTGTGTGTTGCATCTGATTTCAGTTAAGCAGTGTGCATGCCTGAAAAGTCGTTGGTTTGACTGCTGTCTGTTTCATCTGCACTTCTTCTCTTTTGATTGCACCTCACCAGTGCTTGGTGTCAGGTGTGGTTTGCATTTCATTCACCTGCCTCGGCTCAACTAATCACTTCTGCATTGCTTTCAATTAGTTTACCTTTGATGTGAAGTTTGCTGTGAGCTGTCTACTTTCTGTTTGTAATTTTTACAAAACTTTCCTTCAGACGAAGTTTGTTTGAATATTTCGTGGAATTATATTCACAAGTTATGCAGATTGGGGAGCATATTGGGTGAATCCAGGGATTTGAAGTGGCCGATTACTGGGAGTTTTTGAAGAGTTGAAGATTGTTAGTTTTTCAGTCTGGAAGAGTTAATGAAATAGCAATGTTTGCTCATGCACATGCTTAAGTACCTGACTCTGTGTAGTTAGTGATACATGAGAATCAACTTGTAGTCTTGCAGAGCTGGAGGAAGTACACCATGTACAGGCTGATCCTTTCAAGATATTTCCTTTGAATTTTATTTGTAAAAGTTGGTTGCAGTGTCATTATATTATAATAAATGAAAATCGCTTTGCTCTTTTGAATACAGTAGACAAATGAATATTTTATGTATTTCTGTAATGTATAATAAGAATTTGATATTTTGGAGCAAATTTGCTTGTTGGGACAAGATAGTTAAAGANCAGTCCCTGCATGAGGTAGCACAGTCTACCACAAAAGACCTTCAGTATATAGCCTGACTTTATGCAGACAGTTATTTTTAAAAAAATCAAACTGTCCTTTCCATGTGTAACTTTGTATAGAATTGGCTTTCATACAGATTTTTTACCAACATGACCCAGGTACATTCCAGACTGGGGTCGTTTCCACTAATCTATCCTGAGTATAGTCACAACATTGACAGCCAGGCCTATCATGAGTTATCTGCTTCAGTTGGTTTTGTTGGTTGACCAAACTTTGCCCAGGCAGGAGACAGAGTTCATTAGCTTAAATTCAACTTGAGGGGCCTTCTTAACAAACAATCTTAAACCTGAAAAGTGGAATAAACTTTTAAGACCAAAAGTTTGGCCAACTTCAGTACATGATAAGTTTTTACTATAGTAAAGTAGTAGTCTGGACACTTATATATAAAGTAAGTATTGGTGTGGAAACATTAGCCATGGCTCTCTTGGTGTGAAGATTGGTTAAATACTTATATAAAAAATAATAATTACTACTACCCATTAATCTTGAGTCAAAGTAGACTGTAATCTTAACCTAAAAGTTTAGAACAGTTTTTGGGCTTAAGTTCTTTTGTGAAGCAGGCTTTGTGGTTTTTTAGATGTCTGTCTCTGTTAAAGTTTTTTTTCCTCTTTCAGCAGTTTGGTGAGATCCCTGTACTTTGGTTTTGGATATTTAGGACAGTAACGTTTGATGACAAATTGAAGGTAAGTGAAATCATATTTTAGTTTAATGGTTTCCTTACAACCTATATATTTGATAACTGCTTCAGTCAAATATTATTCTATGTGTATATGTATATTTGATACCTGGGTTTGCTCTAACTTACAGCAACCATTTTTGCTAGAAACAGGCCTTTGGATGAGTAATATGTGCTGGAGATAAGTTACAACTGTTAAACAAATTCATTTTATATGTCACAGGATACTTAAGTCATCAAAACTGACAGATTATACTTGAATTATGAATACATGAAGCTTATTACTTGCATTATGTTACACAGGAAAAAAATATAATCAGATAAATTGTGAAAGTACCTCATTGTTTATTATAATAAGACTGAAAAAATCAAAAATATAATCAGATAAACAGTGAAAGAAGTTTTTTTTTTGCTAAATCAAGACAGAAAAAAATCAAATAAAGATATAATCAGATAAATCAGGAGATTGCTGTATTGTTTTTCATAATCAGCTCTCTTGTATTTATTAATGAAGTGGCATACATTGTGATTACCCTGAATTAGGACGACTTGGATTCTGTTCACAACTAGAAAGAAAGATATGGTTTATGAACTGAAGTGAACTGAACAACTAGGGCTGATTTTGCAAAATACCTTCGTCTGAAAATTGAACAATCTCAACTTTTAGACTGAAGGTAAGGCCTTTTTCAGTTTAAGGGCGCATTCCCAATGACACTATGGTTCTCCATAGATCGTTACAACTCTTTGTTGACTCTCGCTGAATGTAATCATAATATTAACAGGCTTCTTCCTGGTGTTGAGTAAAAAACTGTAAAGCTAGTGATTATAGGATTGGTGGGGATGACATGGTTCATGAACTGAACTCAACAACTAGGACTGCTCTTACAAAAGAACTTCCCCTGAAAATTTGACCAGTCTACACTTTTAGACCAAAAATAAGGCTTTTTTTCAGCAGATAAAGGCATAGGAGTCCACTTAAAAAAGTAAGTATTGGTCTGAAACATTGGCCATGTTTTTTTTTTTTTTTTTTTCTTTGTAAACCAGGGACAATATTTCATTTGGTTGCACTGCTACAAATGTTTTGGGTCAAAGTAAGCTCAAAATTTTGGTCTGAAACTGATGATCAATTTTCAGGTTAAAATTTCCTTTTTGAAAGAAGTCTCAAGGCTCTGGACACAATTACATAGCACAACATGACATCTTCAACAATGTGGCTTTGCAGCATCTTTCCTTATACTTATTTTTGCTTATTTGGAAACCATTCTAAGTTTATTGTTAGACGCAATGATATAAATTTGAAGTGCATCTTATGCTTTTAACGTCTCCATCCCACATTGAATAAATGCATTACATAGGTTGTGCAACATGATAAAACCACATTAATGGGAGCTTTCTGTAGCTTAAGGACTCTATGTTTGGAAAATGAGCTTTAAAAAACAATTTTTAGATTTTTAATGTCTAAGTAATAATCAAATATTTATCTTTCATTGAATAAAAAGATATTTTTACATTTGAACCAAAAATTAATATTTCAGGGGTTCTTTCTTATTCCATGGCCCATCAGCACTAGTGGCCTGTTCTAAGCAGGTGTGATTTAGCTTGGGAATATGATCATATGATTATGTGATGTTATCATATAATAAGATGAGCCATATTTACTGTATTAAGACATCTTAGGCAAGATGGGTTCCCTTTGTAGTCTTTTGTCTGTTGATGTTGAATAGTCTGGTCTTTTTCAGGTAAATGTTATCCTGGGTATTGCTTATATAAATCAAGAAAACTTAAGACCAAAGGCTTATCATTAGTTTAGACCAAATATCCAGTCTACTTTGATTGAAGATAATATGTATATTATATTGAATTACATATTACCATTATTTTTTACCACAACAAAGAAATGGCCACTGTTTTAAACCTAAATTTACTTTTTCATTTTTTAAATAAATCAGGTTTATTCTTAATTGAATTAAACCAAAATTTAAGACCAACTAGATGTTCAAATCTTCTTTTTGAAAATGACTCCTGTATGGCCATAATATTGTACTAGTAAATAAGGCTCTATTCCCATAGATTTTAGATCGATCTATCCCCGCGGGGAGTCTCACTAGATTACTTTCAGATAATCCGACTTAAATGTCCGTCCCGCCTACTACAAGCTGTAAGGGGTAATTAACTTTCGGTGTTACACCCCATTTCCATAGATTAGATCGACCTACTTTAGATCGACCCAACTCCCTGGGGGTTCACGCTAAATAGCTGTCAGCCGGGCGGACACGAAAGTTAATTATCCCCTTACAGCTTGTAGTAGGCGGGACGGACATTTAAGTCGGATTATCTGAAAGTAATCTAGTGAGACTCTCCGCGGGGATAGATCGATCTAAAATCTATGGGAATAAAGCCTAAGGTTCAAGTCAACTGATGTATTGCTACAGTAGCAATCATCATCATGTGATGAGGACAAAAGATGTTTTTATTACTTAGTAGTAATAAATCTTCCTGGTCTGGCATCACATGATATTTGTGATTTGTATGTAAATAACAAACAAAAAGCAACACTGTAACAGAAGTTGTTTATACATGTGCATGCAATATGAGGAATTTTGGGAGTGCTCCACGAATTTATGGCTACAATCTAAAATTTGTGCAATGCTTAAGTAACACTATAAGATGCATATCTATTGCATAGTGATTCACAGGAAGCTTATCTGAGAAAAAAGAAGGAAGGAAATGGAAACTAATGAAAACAAAACAGGATATTTGTAAATCACGAGGAAAA